TTCGGCGATATTCAAAAATTAATTTCTCGTTAAATATTGCGAATTTTGCAAAATGGTAGAGGACTTTTCGATTCAGTTTAGTCCATTCTATCTACCTATGAGCGGTGATACACCTATTAAGAGACACCCTGTATATATATACATATATATTCTATAGCCTATATTGTGAATTCTTTTTTATCGATAAAAGTGCTTTTAAGCATATTACGCATAAGTTTACGCATATTAGCATAAATTTACATATACTATGTATATTATATATCCTAAAAAGCACTTTTATTCGTAAAAAAAGATTCAAAATATGGGCCTATGATATTAAAAGTTTTTTTTAAACTTACCAAAGTTTTATAACTTCTTGATAATGACTCGATTACCTCGTCTGTGATCCTATCAGATATATGCGCCGCAACAGCTAAATTAAGCTCGCTGATTTAAAAAGGGAAAGAAAAGGATTAAAATTATTATGAAAACAAATCGACACATTTATATCGAAATTATTACGAAATTCTTACTTGACTCTGTTAACAATATCTGCACCAGCTTGTTCGGTAACAGTGGTATGTATGAATTCATTATTGATTTGGTTTTTCTCTTTGCATGTATTACGAAGATCGTCTTGTACCGCGATTGGATCACTTTCATCATCCCTGATCACCGTTTGCGAAAGTATAGTAGGACATTGCTCATTCGCACACTTTAACATTGCATCTAAAGAATCCTGCATCAATCATAAGTTTCTCATGTTAAACACCGTCATATCTTAACAAAAATAATGACTTTTACTTTTGAACTTGCAATTTACAAGATGTATTATATACATTTTCAAAATAATGAACAAATTATGAAAAATTTCGATTATTTTAGCTCTTATTTAAAAATAATACAAAATATATTAGCGACGATTTAGAGAATCTGAATCAAAAATTATTTCAATAAGAAATAGAAGTGTTTTAATCTGTGCTCTAATGGAAATATAATTAAGAAAGAATGACAAAAATCTTAATTTTTCTGATATAAGTACTTCCAATATTCAAAATTATTTATGCAAAGTTTAATTACAATGAAGAGATTAGTTGTTTCGTAAATTAACAAATAAATAAATTTTGTTTAGTTATAGAACAACTACTCTTTGCATATCACAATGAAACTGCATAAATCTTGAATATTTAAAGCGTCGTCTACAATGAGACTTAAGACTAAGATTTAAGAAAATTGATCAATTTAGTCGATTATTCATCTTACGTGAGAAAAACAATCGATTGTGATTAGTCAATTTTCTTAAATCTTTCTTAAGTCTTAAGTCTCATTGTAGACGCCGCTTAAAATATTCAAGATTTATGCAGTTTCATTGTGATATGCAAAGAGTAGTTGTTCTATAACTAAACAAAGTTTTATTTATTTGTTAATTTACGGAACAACTAATCTCTCCAATTAAATTTTGCATAAATCATTTTGAATGAAGTAACTTATTAAAGAAAAAATTGAGTTTTATTATTTTTTAAATTGTAGTATTATAACAAAAAAAGAAACAAAGTAAATTATAAAAATGTATTAGTAAATAAAAATAGAAAGTTATTCAACTATCAACTTCATTTTCCATTTCAATTTGCTTTTCATAGGGATTATGATACATCCCTTTAAATCACTAGGAAAGTATTTATAAGATAGAAAGCACATACCTGTAGGTATACTGTAATAACTTTATGAAGTTCGTTTGCCATATCGTGTAGCTTTAGCTCGATTGGATTATTCTCATCACGTCTCTGAAGCACTTCGTGCAATCTTGGCAGTAACTGCAAAGAGATACAACATACGTGAACATTTCAATGTCTCGATCAAAGTTGATCCTTCAAATTCCATCAGTCGTACCTGTTTAGAATTATCCGCATCTTGTATAAGTCCTGTCGCATAATTGATATCGTTATTAGCGTCGCAGCTCTCAGCCGCGAGGGCTTTGATGGTGTCCTGGGTTTGAACGACGAGTCTGTCGACCATTTGCTGCGTGGAGCTCAATAGGAATCCTTGTTGCAACCGGAATGCCTGCCCGTGGCTGTATTTGCACGGCGTGACATTTCTCTGTAGTAGATCTTGTATCTTCTTGGCTAACTGCTCCGTTTTCTCCGTGGAGGTTTTCATACAAGGTTGTAGATCGTAAATTGGAAACGGCATGTGCCGTACGCTGAAATTCCTGCAAAAATAGATGAATTTTGTAAATTTATTGTGTCTCTCAGAGTCTTATTCAGATCTACACACACGTGTGCATACTTCTCTAGTGCGTGAACAATATCCGCGTAGCCTTGTAACGTGATGTTGTTCTTGTCGTATATAATGGTCCGTAAATGATTGTTGATTTGCAACGCTTTCGCTAACAATCTCGCGCCAGGATCACCTATCTGATTACCGCTAATGTCCAGGGTATGTAGACACGTGTTGCTACCAAGAGCATTGATCAGGTTATAGAGATCGCCCTTCAATCGAGAGTCGGGTAGATGCAATGCTTGAAGGACGCAATCGTCCTCCTGAAGCATCTGCACCAAAGCGTCCATCACGACGGCTATGTGCTTGCTCTTCATACTGGCGGTATTACGTCCCATGTATAGCTGCTTTATCGATTTGTTCTTGCCGACCGCCGTCACGACTTGCGCCAAATCGACGTCCATGTCTGCAAATGGAAAATGTTGATCTTACATCTATTCCGTTTGAAATAGATTTTGGGACATTGACTGAATATTATCAGGAATAACGGCTCGTACTTGCAAAGCAATAAAAAGAATAAATAGGCCCAACACAATTTAGTACGTTTAAAAATAAAAAATTTATAAAAAAAAATTAATTTCAATGCAAATATTAAGTTAATTAACTCAATATTTGTGTTGAAATAAATTTGTTTTTTAAAACTTATACCTTATTGTTTCGTTCTTTGGCTTATTTATTTTTTTTACTGACTGAATATTTCTATGATTTACATAACTCGGTTCCTTTCAATCCCAGAAACATAATATTGATTTAAATATACGTACTACTGTCCGATATATCCAACGATGCTATACATCGAACTCCGTGAATGCACGATTCCAGTACGTGTGCGCCCATGGAACCCAAGTTGTTTCCGCTCATATCAAGCTCTAGGCCAACTGTACTTTCGTTGCACGCCAGACCGAGTAACAGGTGTTTTAATGCCTCCAACGGTAGTTTGCACGAGGATATATTTAAGTACTTCAGCGAGAGGGTCGCCGTGAAAAATTGTTTAAAACTGGGAGGTATTTCTTTGGTCTTCTTGCTCGAAAAGGAATTCCGGGCAACATTCAGATGGACTAGATTAGTTGCACAACCTCGTAGTAATGCACCGAACAACTAAATCAAGTAAAAAACGGTGCAAATTGTATCGGTTGAGTGTCGATTAGAAGTTATTTAAGGCTCCTTCAACTCATCTATTATCTCAGATTGTGATGTCAGAAGCGAGAAAATAAACAAAAAATTTTTGCAAAATATATGAAAATGAAAATGTTCCAAAACTTATAATTAATAGAGAGAACCGACTTGTAAAATACTCCTTTTGTTTCATTAATTAATAAATAACCATATATTTGGAAATAAATTATAACGAAATAAGCTGTTTATAGCTATGAGAACAAATTAATGAGTTAATAATTAATATAAAAAATAATAAATAGAAAAAAAATATATTTATTTGATGTAATTCTTTCCCAAAACAAAAATATAGTATCCAATATATGTATAAAATAAAAAGATATTTATAAGTCTATTCTATTGTTTGTTTTATTGAAAATAGTTCTATTTGAATATATTTTGCAGAATTTTATTGTATATTTTCTTGTTTCTGACGACACAATCTGAGATAGTAGTAATGAATAAACAGAAGTTTTAAAAGAAAGCAATGTAAAAATAGTTACTTACGCATTCTAAAGTAGTATCCGTACCGCTAAGATCTAGATGTGTTAAACTATTAGGTTGCGCCAAGAAATTGCACAAATTCTGCAATCATTAAACGAATATCACGAATTAGGATTCTAATCGCAAATTAAGTTCCTGCCTTATATCCACCAAAATAGATTCACAATTCATTACTCACATTAACGTCGTCCTTCAAGGTATTCTCCGAAAGATTTAGATATCGCAAACTAGTCGGCATACTTCTGTTCAAGCTTAATGCATGCGCTATTTGGCTTATACCTTTCCCGGTCAATCCACAGTGGGACAAATTCAATTTTTGTAAACCTTTAGGCAACTTGCCAATAGGGCCGCTCAGATGAGTACCACCTTAAAAAAATATATCACAAACTTTGAATAGTAAGCTTAAATAAGAGAAATAATAGAAGCTTTTACTTGCAGATAGTCAGTATTTTATATATCAATGCGACGTTTACAGAACAAATGTCTGGAATATTACATTATTTAAGATAAAAAGAAAATAAAGGGATATATAAATACAGAAAATCTCTGTAAAAATATGAAACAAAGGTGCATATTTAATGAGAAGAAAAAGCATATTGTATATTAGTATAATTAACTAGGAATAATTAAAATACATGGTTATTGGCACACCTTGCATTAACTTGGCTATTATCCCACACAAGCTAGAGGCTCCTACAAAAAATATAAAAAAAATCTATTCAGGACACTTTGAAATTACGGTTGACAATTGGAAAATGGAAAATGCTTAACGGGGTGTAGTGCAGATAAAGATTTCAAATACACAAAGATTTCAAGGGACACTGGATAAATCATTGAAATTAATTAATTACCTTTGTCCTCAATCATATTGTGCGATAGATCTATCGTTTGCAGCATCGTGTTAGCGTTAGAGATCAAGGCTAACGACAGCTTATGAGCAAAATCCCTTTAAAACCGAATATTCATACATTATATTCATGCATTAGATATTTTCCTGATATCAAAGCTAATTTCTTAAACCATTACCATTTAATCCCAAGATTATCCAAATAAAGCTCCTGAATAGACAAAGATCTTCGCATAATATGTAACAATCTCTCTAGAGGCTCATGATTTAGTTTGAGATGGGATGCCCTCAATTTTGTGAACCAAGTATTATACTCCAAGGCCGAGATAATTGGCACCAAGTCCTTCTGATCTAAATGATCGAAGTCTCTCAAATTTAGCTCTCTGGTGTCGTGCGAAAGGTATATTGTATCAACGTCCTGAAATTTGTATCTCTCTGAATAAGATTTTTTTGTATCAGATAATTCATTGTTAAAGCAAATTCGAATGGCGCCGTCAAATCTCACCCAGGCCACCTCCTCTCTGTACGGTACGCCGTGCAAGTCGCACATGCACGCATATTGAGTCGAGAAGCCGCCGCAAGGTCCGGTGTGTCTTGTGGCTTCTGTGCTCCTAGCTAACTCGCTCCCTCGTATACTCTGCAGCCTGCTAGCTGGTATTACCTCTATTTTTCGTATAATGTAACTAAAAATAACATACATAACATTTTAAAATACAGTTAAAAATGTGATCAGTGAAGTTTCACAAACAGGCACGTCCCTTAGTTAAAAACAGTGAACTCTATAACATACTGGAACGCTTACTACAGTAATACAGTTATGTGTAAAAACAGTCAAGCCTGTCAGACACAAAATATGTTTGCAGATTGTGTTTTTCTCTAACGTATTACATTTCATTCTCGCTTGTGAGCAAACACACAAGACTAAGGAAACAGTTCCTGCATAACTATTAATAAATTCGATTGGATGCATTAGTGCATCTTAAGACTACTGTATACAAATCAACGTAAAGATATGTGTTTAAATATAATTTAAATATAGAAACGGTTAAATCGCGAAATTCTTAATATATTTTACTATAATATTTGGTATATATATTAGACATTAAATATTATTTAATGTCTAATACAATATTATTATTAGATATTAAATATTTAGATATATTTAGAAATATTTAGATATTAAATATTAAATAGATATTAAAATATATATATTATTATATTATATATTATATTAATATAGATATTAAAATATATATTAGACATTTTATCTTTCGAGATATTTCACTTTTACATGATTGAGATTAGAACAATAGCATTAATGTACTGAGTATGTATTAGTGCATTTAATTAAATTCGCTATATCTTTCTCAACTCGCTCTTGTCGAGCAGAATTCTCCTTTGTAAGCATTCTAGTATGTATAGTTCAAAATAAAGTGAAATGTACTTTAATGGTACTGTAGGGAAGATATTTCGAATCGCCGTGTGTAAGGCCTCTATCATAGCATCCACTTCCGTGGTATCCCCACCGACGCTGTTTGTAGTAAAATTGTAATATCGTTCTCCGACAGTCAAACATAGCTGATTCGCTCTCCTCGACTCTATGGCCGTTATTTCTAGGTAATGAAAATGGCAGTCGATCTACAAGGGAATAAAATTTAAATGTCAAATAATAAGACAAAGGAGTGACAGAGAGCACGAATAAATTGAACTTACTCTTGTGGGTACTTTGGCCGATAAGAGAAACAGACGACATGGCGAGAACACCTTAAGGGTAAGAAACAATCAACTTAGTTTAAATTAAACTTAAAAGTAAAAAGTGAGCTATTGCAAAAAGGAGGAAAGAGATACATAGAGGGAAAAAAGGAAAAAAAATGAGATGGAAAAAGCGATTACTCACGAGAACACGATTCTCCTGCTTGTCCTGCTTTGTTTCCAATTTCACCACGTTCTTTAACAGTATCTTCACATGCTTGCCAAGTAGCGCTTTCACCGATTCTGCAAGTAATTAATAATTCACACAGAGGTTACACACTTTTTATATGGAGTAGCATTTTGCGCCGAATGAAAAGTGGCACGAGAAAACTCTACTCGACCAGTCGTTCGTTTTTTATTGCAAAAAGAAAAAGGGTAGCAACGATACATGGCTAATTAATAAAACTCGCGCGAGTTGGAGAATGTCGGGCGGCAGGATCGGCGTTCATCAACGAGACGGGAGGGACGAGCGTTCGCGGATGACAGCTCGACCCCGAGTGCCGTATGACGAGCAACGTAAACACTTGCGATGAAGCTGTAGACGAACCGTTTAAATCTTTCGTGAGCTGCGACCGGGTTGACATTTTGCTAGCTGAAGTCTTCCATTGAAGTTCGCCGTTCCATCTAATGTGTCGTCGTCCTCGTCGTCCCACTCCTTCTCTCACGATCGCTTTCCCTGCTCTATACCGATTTAGGAGAGCACTGTTGGGACAAAGGGCGATGTCACGACGAGACAAGCGGGCAGTACAGTAGCAGCCATGATGGCACCTGTCCGCGGATTGGTCCGCGACGGTCACCGATGATCGGCAAACGATGCCGACGAATCCGACGATGGCCGCGTTTTAGGCGGTCCGGGCCATCGGAGCTGTCGGAGCACTCCGGAGCAAGCCGACCCGAGCGAGGTGAGATGCGCTACCGAAGATCGTCGCCGGCCTCGAGAGAGCTTCCCCGTGCCCCGTTACGCCCTCTCGGGATATACTCCGCAAGTGGAATGAGAAACGGCAGTCCCGTGACAATCAGTGACAATCCCGACTGACACATAGACCAGACGACAGTGCAAAGGTTGGCCGGCTACCCCCTCCCCCCCCCCGCCTCCCGTTCGAGAGCAATGCAAAGAAGACGGCGCAAAGAGATATGATACAAGATATAAGTAGGTACGATAAAATAAAAAACCACATGGGTAGACGGTGGTAGACCCCTGGCTTTATGGTGGAAACCAGAACCAACATCAACCGTGGTACTGTGATTCGAAGAATCGGATATCCATAGGCAAAGAGAAGAAGAAGAAGGTACGATAAAATAGAATACGCTGCAGTCGTGTATACGTATTGTAAATTGTCCGCGAAATAGCAAACTATAAATAAACTGAATAATTTTGTGCTGCAGATTTAAAAAAAAGTTAAAAAAAAATTACGCTACATGTTTACGTTACGTATATATTCAATACTCACGCCGAATGATCGGAGACAGTCGATAATGTCAGAGCTCTCTCAGGGATATGTTTATCTCTGGATTATCTCCAGATTCATCTTAATATAGTTACAGAGAATTTACACAAAATTTACACTCCGTGTTCTGTTCTCTTGCAATGTCTTGCATCACTTATCTCAACAGTAGAAGAGGATAATTAATTATGATGACTCGTCAACTTGTTTTGCTGAATTTTCGCATAATTGATTATTCATGCTAATTTATTCCATTTCTCACGGTTGCATTTTGTGTTAATTTAGTTAATTTATTATAAATGCGATGAATATTAATTTAAATTAAATTAATTTTTTGTTGTAGGGTCTATCAATTGCACTCGCTGCTTGGTTAAAAGATTGACTCTTTCCATCAGCTATTATGACCATTTTAAAGACTTTGATCGCCGGAGGGCAAGTGTGCCTCAGAAGATCTTATGCTACAAGTTCAAAGTTTATTGAGACTACGCGAGATAATGGTAGTGTTGCCTGCTTTTCATGACTTTTGATTCCTTAATATACAGCTGTTTCTCTCAAATTTCATTTTACTCTATGATTGACTAGAGATCGAGATCATATCTATGGCAAGAAAACCTGTCAACAGTTTGAACGTAGAGCTGTTAAGCGAATTGAAGGCATCTTTATTGGAGGCTCAAAACAGCCGCAGTAAAGGCATCATATTGACATCGTCTTTGCCAACTGTGTTCTCCGCAGGATTAGATATCATGGAAATGATAACGACTGATAAAGAAAAACTTTCTAATTTCTGGCAAACGTTACAAGACACTTGGTTAACTATTTACAGTATGACTATACCGATCGCTGCTGCTATCAATGTATAGAACTTTTCCAAGTTATTTTATTAGCGTGTTTCTGCAATGTTTCTTTCTTATAGAATATTTCTTTCTACGCAGGGTTCTAGTCCTGCCGGAGGCTGCCTGTTGGCACTATCTACGGAATACAGAGTTATGGTTGAAGGCAAGTATACTATAGGATTGAACGAAACGAAATTGGGTATCGTCGCTCCGAAATGGTTCAGGGATATGTTTATTTCGGCGATAGGTTATCGACAAGCCGAGCTGGCGCTTTTAAGGTATGTAAGATATTTAATAAAGATGTATGTATGTACATAAAATGCGTAAATCCTTAATGATACATGAGATTTTACCAAGATTGAGAAATACCTTGTTACGTAATGAAGTTACAGTTAGAGTTACTTTTTTTTAGAAACTGTGTAACTTGATTTTGTTCCTATCTTTCGATTTATAATTTAATTAATTTAATTAATGTAATTTGATTAAATTTTTTTAATAAATGCAAGGTTGGGAACGTTACCTTAAAAAAGTAACGCGTTACCGTTACCGTTACTTGAAAAGTAACGATTCGTTACTTTATCGTTACTTTTTTGTAATATTGAAATAAGTTTAATTATATTTTAAATTTGTATTATTTGATAATTATTATTAATTATAATAATAAATATTAAAACTTGAAACTCTTTAGTCTGTATATAGAGCATATTTTTCTATATATTAATTATTTTTATAAAAAGTAAGATTAAATCTATTGTCTCTAAATTAATTATTAAAAGTTTATTCCAATATTAATTTACTGTTAGTACTAATAGTAAATCTAGTTTCACAGGGTGTTTCTAACATGTAGGACCGACTTCATTGGTGGACAAGAGATAATGATAAAAGGTCATATAAACATGTGTCTCCTTTACTTTCGAGTTATAGTCATATTTATATTACAGTAATATGGAGCTGCTTATCTTTATAAAAAGTGCTTAAAACAATCACCTTCGGCCTGAATGTAAGCATGCAGTCATTGCCGTGTAGATTATCACACATTTTTAAAAATATCTGATATTCGTCGAATTTGTTAGCAGCAATTTTTTTAATGAACACTTTTCTGACAAATGGATAAACGGATAAATCGGACAGGACTTATTGGCGGGCCTGCGCGCCCCCTAGACTTAAATCTATTAGATTTTTATTTGTGAAGACACTTAAAAATGCAGTTGTTTATTTTTATCCCATTGACAGCATTTTAATACTTTGTCACATATAAGAAGACTGCCAATAATTAACAAATGCGATAAATATTCAGTATTTTTGAAAATGTGCGACAATTTACATGGCAACGACTGCATACTTGCATTTAGGTCGAAGATGATTATTTTAAGCTCATTTTATAAAGATAAGAAACTGAATACAAATAGCATTCAGAATACAAATATAATTATAATTTGAAAACCAAGACAAATGTTTATCAGACATGTTTTATTTTATTATTATCTTTGTGTCTCCTGTCCACCAGTAAAGTGGTCCTTATCTTACGTTAAATACTGTATAAGTATATGTAATGTGAATTATAGATTTTTTATACTGATAATGATTACAAGAATATAGCCTAAGAGATATAGAATACAAAATATATATTTTTAATAAATTAAAAATATATAAAATAAGAAAATAAAGTATAAAAAAGAAGTTTGCGTGTGGCTAGATATTGTAAATATTATTACACACCAACATCCGTGTTAGCTCGCATTGGTATTATTTCACTATTGATTTATTCTTACGAGCTCTAAGATGTATTTGAAAGTATAAAAAAGTAACTATAAAAGTAACGGCAAATTCGTTACCGTTAGTACAAAAATGTAACGACGTTACCGTTACCGTTACAGTTACCGTTACAGACAGAAAAAAGTAACGAAAATGGTAACGGTATTACAAGTAACGCGTTACTTCCCAACTCTATATAGTATATACTATAACCCTATAAACTATTAAATTAGTTACTATTTACTAAATAGTAACTAATTTAATAGTTTATTTTATATATTTCAAACTTATTTGTCAACATATGGACTATGTTCAACAAAATAAAGTGCTAGTGAACAATCAGTAATTATTTCTTTTATTCTTGATAATAATTACATTCTGTAAATGTATTATGAATTAATTTAGGTTTCAGCATATAACAGCATATTAAATCAATATTCTAATTTGATTCCAAGTGTATATATTAATTTATTATAAATTTTATTATAAATTATTTAATTAAGGTTTCTTTACTCACCACTACTATTTCAGATTGTGACAGAAGTAAGAAAATACATGATAAAAATTTTTGTAAGATATATTAAAATGGAAATATGTTTCAATAAAACAATTGATAGAATCTTGTAAAATACATCGAAAACTCCTTTTATATATATATATATATATATAAAAGGAGAGTTTATGTTATACATGTATATATTTTGTTAATTTATAAAAAATCATATTTGAAATTAATTATGCATAACCAAAAGCGAAGTAAGCTATGTTCACAGCAAATGTTTAATTGAAAAATATATTTGAAATTTTCTTAAAAATTTCTATTTGAATACGTTTTACAAAAATTATTGTGTATTTTCTCGTTTCTGTCACAATCTGAAATAGTAGTGGTGAGTAAAGGAACTTTAATTGAATAATTTACAATAATAAAATTCACAATACATCACAATCTAAGATAGTAGTGATAAATGAACAGGAATTTTAATATGTTGAATGGATTTTTATTTTAAGTTCTTAAAATAATTGTGATTTATTATATATAAAATAATATGTATATACACATATACATACAAGGTGGCTCACATAAAATGTTACAAATTAATAACTCTAAGAATATTTATCGTATCAAAAAGTTGTTCATGAGGAAGTTTCATGTATTAGAGGGATTTTTCTAATTGTGTAAACAAAAATTTTTCTCTGTTCTTGAAGGTGGCGGGATAACTTCAAAATTTTGAATGGAATCCTCTGTAAAATGTTACATATTTGAATTCTACGAGAAAAAATAAGTAAACATAATCTGAAACATTTCTTTGGAAATTGCTTTTATCAAAAGTTATAAACATTTAAACTTTAAAGTAGAGTGCATTTAAATTAATGATATAATAAAAGCATAAATTAAATAAAAGATTTCAAAGTTTTTATTTTTTTTTTATTTTATTAAATGTTCGAACTGTTCATTTACATTTAAACATTAATTCTATCTACAAAATTTTGTCTTACTCTAAACATTTCTGGGATTACATTAGCGCAAGCTTCACACATTCTTCGTTTTAAGTCTTCTTTTGTCTGTATCAAAGAGAAAGTCATGTTTCAAGCACCTACCGACGAAAGAAGACTTAAAACGAAGACTGTGTGAAGCTTGTACTAGTGTGATCCCAGAAATGTTGTTTAGAGTAAAATAAAATTTTGTTAAAAGAATTAATAAATTCGAACATTTAATAAAATAAAAAAGAACAGAAAAACTTTAAATTTATTATTAATTATTGCTTAATTTATGCTTTTATTATATTACTAATTTGAATGCAAAGTAACAAATTATTTTCACAAAGTAATTTTTCCAACCTTGGATTTTACATGATGTAATTATTCCATTTCAGAGGAACACTGTTTAAGTCTGAGAAAGCATTGCAGCTTGGACTTGTAGACGAGCTCGCTAAAGATAAAACGGATACCATCGAAAAGTGCAAAAATTACATATTGTTTTATAATAATATACCAGGTAAAAATACTGTACTATAGCATTTCATAAGCAGTTGATATACTAATCACACATCGTTATCGATAAAGGTTTTGGGAGGACCGGAACCAAGTTAGATTTGAGAAACGACTTGATTCAGTGGATGAAAAAAAATAAGCAGGCTGATATCGACGTTTTCGTGAACTATATACATTCACCGAAAATACAAGCTGGCCTTAAATTTTATGTTGAATCTTTAAAACAGAAGCAGTAATAGATATCTTGGTAAGAGACAATATTAATCTTGTTTGTATTAATAATCTTGCCTATTAATCAAGATTTTGTATACTTTATATATACTTTTATATTTAGATATTGTATTTTACAGAATATAATATTTTCATATTATGTGTTAACAAAATTTATTAACAAATGTCATACTCCCATTTATTTTCTGAATTTTATTCCGTATCGTCAGAAGAAGCAAAACGTGAGATGTTTAAACGTCGAAACATTGTTGTAACATGTTATCGTTAATTTTCTAATATGCCGTCATCATCTAGATCAATGCCTGCCAAATCTAACTGTTGTGGTAAGCTTAACAAATTAAGTTCTTTCTGTTGAGATTCAAAGAAATGTGATATTTCCAATATTTGCTGACGATTTCTTTTATCCTCATTCCTGTTTATTAAAATTTTTCTGTATAAGATATAAACGAGTTAAACCTTATTGATATGATGGTTACTTACACGATTAATTGATTGATGTAGTCTTTGAGCCAATTGTCGAGTCGATTTGTCATGCGCTTCTCTCGATCGTCTATTATCTATAGATTGTATCAGTTATCATAATTACTAATTATTTATTTTAACAATTTTTAAATTTGCCATGCATGTTTACTTGGTCCTTCAGAATAGTAAATTAATATTCTTGTAAAAATTAAAATATAATTACGAAATTCTTCAAGAGATTGAAGGGGATAACTTGGGCTATCCCTCTCTCTTGAAAAATTCTATGTTCCATTTATTTTAAATGTTAATAAATAATAATGAATGTTTACTTGTAAATGTATATTGTGCGAGGTGGCAAGAGTGATAGCCAAGGTATCTTTGTCGCAGTACAGATCCTTAAGATTAAATGGTATATGTGTCTCATCCTCAAAACCGCTAAGATAATGTAGCACAAATCCATTTATAATGTCATTATATTCAATTTCTGCGTTTCGTAATAGGGAGAAGTATTCTCGTGCGGTTTCTAGGAACGAGTTGACTATATCTGTCATATTAATTCTGAATACCTTGTTTATATCCTTTTTTTGACAAAAAAGTTGTTCTTTTGAATCTATTTTTGTTTATCTCGTATAAATTAATGTCATACACACGTACCTCCATTTGATCATGCAATATAATTTCTTTAGACATTAATTGATTTCGTGCCTTAGACAATAAATCATTAAATTCATTAAACAATTCTCTTGCTTTGGCAGCGACGCTCTCGGTTTCCTCCTCGTGTTTCTCTACCAAAGCCTCCATCACTTCTTTTATATTCGCAAATATCTTTGCTCTTTTTTCAAGTACCTCATCCACGATTCTTAAAATGATGAAAGAAATTGCATAAATGACAGTCATTACATACTAAAATTAAATTTACGTAATTAAAACAGATCACAATTGAAATTGAATAATCATAGTTTCAGAAATAAATTCCCATTTAATTCTTACAATTGTTTTCTCTTTTACTACTCTCTTTACCTTCTTGCTTCATTTTGCGTATTTTCCTTGCCTTCGTTAACAGCAACTTCAAACAATCTTATTTCCTCTGTTCTCTTATCATTCTCTTGTAAACCTAGTTTATACAATTTTTGGCATATCGCAACAAAAGATTTTTTGTACTCCTCGAACGCATTCTGTGTACTTTCGTTTAATGTGGACAATGTTCTGCCTGCTACTTGTACCGATACTTTTAAATAAATTATATGTGTGTAAACAGAGTAGAAATCTACTAAATAGAGATGGAAATCTACCTTCATCGGAAGAAAACATTTGTTGGAACAGATAATCTTCATCAAGTTGCTCCACGTATGATGCAAATAGTAATGCAGTTTTGTTTTTAAATTCTCGTTGCAATGCCAATTCCGTTTGCATTTTCGCCTCGTTTTCTTCGAGATTACTAACTATACGACTATAAAAATTAAACAATATAATTATTCATTTACAATACAAAAGTTCGAAGAATTTTTTTTATTTTACTGTAAAATTAAAATTAATAATCACTAATGCTTATCAATGGCGGATTGGCGCTCGCTTTCGGATATCATTCTATATTGATAATAAACCAATTGGGGCACAAATGCGAACAGATAATCCAAGTATCCGTCTATTTCCGTGCAAGGGTTGTCGCACATGTTCAAACTTTTGAGCGATTTGAAGTCACGTAAATATACGACCTACATCAACAGAACTTTATACGTGACAAGGAATTATCCATAGTCCAATCTCATTTAAGATCATTTTACGATTTCGAGATCACAGTTTTATTAACTGATTGTGAATGAAATCTTAAAAAGATTAAGATCAGATTTAAGATAACTTTAAATATAAGCTTGGACTATGAATATCAAAAGGTGATCAGAAGATGTGAGACATTTAGTTATACGTACATGCTTCCAGTCATTGATCTTATTTTTACCAATGTTCAAAATGATCAACTTTTTCAAGTCGCTTATACCCTGTACAGTCGATATCTCGTTACTGTACAGAAGCAGAATTTCTAGTTGATGCAGATTGTTCAAGTTTTCCATAATTTTGATGCGATTAAACGAGAGGTCTAGTTCCCTCAAGTGATGAAGTTTGTCTAGATTTTCGATTTTCTCGATAACATTATGAGACAGCGATAGTTTAACCAGACTTTTCAATAACCAGAGATGATCGATGTTTAAAATTTCTGCAGAGTAACACATAGAAAACGTTAGAATATTAAAATTTAAGTAAATAGTGACTGCTATGCGTATAATACAGAATAAATAAATATTGATGTTTTTAGCCATTGGCATCTTAGATTTAATTTTTGTGAATTTTATATATTTTGTTTTTATGTTCTTGAACTATACATTGATTATTATTCAGTCCTCAAACATAATTTTATGCCCAAATTGGAAATGCAATTTTATATTATTAATAAAATAAAACTAGAGAAAATTTATTTCTAAAATATAAGTCAATATATAATTTTACTTTCATATTATTAACTTTTAAAATTATTACACAGAATTAGATCATTTGTGTTGGTTATAATTAATTTAATTTATCTACAATTTTTTAAACACACAATAATGTTATAAATGCTATTTAAAGAGGACACCTGAATATCATATAAAATATAAGTTTTGCATCAGAATAAAAGTGTAGGATTTAAAAAGATCTATTTACTGATCTTATTAGTTTGATCTTGGGTGGCGTTGTCAAAATCAGGGAAAGATCATTTTAAATTTTTTTAATGGAACCCCACATTTATTATTGCATATTCTTGTAGCTTTTTAAGAGCTTTCCAAAACACTATAATAAAATATTTTTTCATTAATCACTTTTCGAATTATATTAAAGCTTAAAAGTTACAGTATCACATTAGCATTATTCAAGGTGTCCAGACAATGGCTGAAACCTTAATTTTGAATGTTGTTCAGGATCATGAGCTTGACAACACGTATCAAGGCCATGATCATTGGAGATTCTTTCTGTTATTTTTATATTTGAAAATTATTTTTATTTTCTGAAAATAAGCGAAACAACCTCCAATGATTATGACTTTGACATATATATATATATATATATACATACATACTTATATATATATGTATGTGTGTGTGTATGTGTGTGTGTGTGTGTGTGTGTGTATGTGTGTGTGTGTGTGTGTAAAAGTGATGACAATTATATATTAATACACGAATGATCAGACGTGAACACCATCGTGTGTAGTAAGAATTAAATTAATATGTGATGTTTCTAATCCAATTTTATATTTAAAATTGTTTTATAAATCTATCTTAGGTGGTTTTAAAGACTTGATTTAGTCAATGAAATGACCATATAACATTTCAAGATCATACTTAAAATAATGTTAAATATAAAATCAGATTATGAATGTCATAATTTAATATTATTGAAATCAGCCGATGTACTTATATGTTCTTAACGCTATTCATAAGTGATTAGATACGTATGCACGACTATTGCCTACTGAGAAACTCGATGCGAATCTCTTTTAATTTGTCCAGTTCGATACCGTCTTGGAGAAACAGTCTACCGCCTTCTTTCTTCGGCCCTTGGTCAATTGTTAAAGAAACGAGCATGTTCTGTGTTATCACGCCGGGCTCCGTGGCTTCGCGCAGCGCGCTGACTGTGTCCACCTTATACATCCTGTTTCACGCCTCGATTTCTTCTTCTTCTTCTTCTTTTTCGTTTTGTTGGCTTCGCCTCGATTTCAAGTCTGTTCAAGCCTTAACAGCCCTATGAGTGTAATGTGCGAGTGTAACAAACTTCGGGCGTCGAGCATTTGCAGCCGCGTGAATCTACGATTCGCGCATTTGAAACTCTGTCTAATTCTCTCTCTTCCTCCTTATAAATAAATCGGTTGGTTCGAAGCTGTTTCACTAATGTCAACTTCGACAAAGTTTAGAACTCGTTTACGTTGTCTGCGCGACCATGATATAACATAAGGCGCGTTTGGAAAGCGCGCTGTCGCGTCATTCTATCCTTGTTTTACATCTAATGGATAAATATGATAAGAAATATAAAAAAATAATAAAAATAATAATAAAAATATACAATATAAATATATGATTATATGAAATGAGCTAGAGACGCGCGCATGCGCACGTTTACGAAGTACACGAATTGTGAAAACGAGAGGGTGATATCGTTTGCACCGTGATGTTTTCGCCGCTTTTAATTTTTGTTAGCAATGTAGGCTGAGTTTTGTAAAGCGCATAATGCGCATGATGTATCATTTTATTCTTGTTTAATATTCGGTAAACAACAAGAATAAAATGATACATATATTATGCGCTTTACAGAAATCAGCCGTAGTATTACGTATGTGCCATAATGTGTGCAGGGCAGCACGTCGCACATGCTCTGTCTCAAGGCGCATGCGTCTCTCGCAAGGCAATTTCTGGTTGCTTTTTCAGCGTTGTATAAGTCCGTTGGCAAATTGTATTGTAATCGATCGTTCCGTGAATCATGCGGTCAGAGTGAACAGATAATCAAAAAAAGTGGCGATTTATACATACCACGTGTGCAAAAAGAGATCCTTACGAAACATTGCAATCGACCAGAATTCGGCGAGATAAACTTATATATATATCTCGCCGGTCAGACGTATGAAAATACGAAAGATAATCAGTCAGTACGTGCGAGTAACGTTTACGATTAGTTATATACGAACGGTATCGTCGAGTTACGCGTTCTTCGGCCGAAGACGAAGTTGCATTTGTGCATCTGGCGAAAAACGATCTTCTGTTTTTTTGTCGTTTTGCGCATTTTGAAGATACAAACATACAAATTCATGCAGTGGCTGCGTTGCGTTTTTCATTCGAACATTCATTATTGAGATGTTAAATTCGCTGTGAGCGTCGAGTCCTCTGCATCGATTTGACCTTCGACTTATCGAAACGGAACAAACAAGATCATTGCTTGGATTCGCTCGACCAACGGTAACAACGGTTTCATCAGATAACGCAAGAGGATAAAACGAAGATTCACGTTATTTATGGGATATAGAATATATAAAATATTTTCATTTTGCTTTCTTTGCCCGTACTTTGTCTTTAAGTGTCACGATGAATTACGAAATACCTTGCGACTTACAGATGCCCTATCTGCGGGCGATTCAAAAGATACCAGGCAATACTGCCAGTGAGAAATGGCGTTGGATCGGTAGATTGACTTTCCATCAGGTCAGCGGGGATCTTGAACAACTTCCGTCAGAATTGCTGCCTATATTGCGTGTAGAAACTGCCGTTAAGAAGAAGAAACACGAGGATATAACTTGGGCGCTCAAGTGCGAAGACTTGACAATAATAAACCGAGCTCTTAAAGCCTCTTGGTTTTTTGATGGCAGTCACAAAAAGATCGTTAACATTGCGTATTTCTGCGAACGTCTCTTCCCTTACGTTTCCGTAAACACGAGGACGCGTATTGTGATTACACTTGCGCATCGATTGTCCGGCAAAGATCCAGTTTACGCGCAGGAAATGTTCACGGCAGTGGCATCTATTTACAGCGTACAAGCCGCTTACCCGTTGATCATGGCTTGCGATGAGGATTTTGCTTATAAAATAATTGTGGAGAAGAAACTCGTGCTGCCTGTTGAAATTGTTAAAAAAATCTTCCGCAAGAATCCGGATTTGATAGTGCGTTTTCTCAAATTATTGAAACCTTGCGAACTAAATGCAACCGAGCACACTCCCTTCGCGATCGGCATCGAAAGATACAAATGTTTACTGCCTAAATTGATAAAGAAACGATTGGAAGCTTTTGTGGAATTGTGTGAGATACATGAAACTAATCCACCGAATATTGTTTTGAGCAATACGTGTGCCGAAATATTTCTGAAAAAAGCTCGCCAACACCTGATAAAAAAGCCACTTTTATACATCTCCATTTTACCACTCAATAAGATCAACGAGGATTTAATGGAGAAAATATTTCCAGGTCTGTTGCCCACAGAAATTTCTTTCTTTGACACAGATAGTATGCTCAATTATTTGAAGCATTATCCACGTAATAAACAATACGATTTGCTTTGTAAATCATATAAGAGTAAATACGATGCTGATCTTCTCAAAGCGACGAAAAACATTACGCCTGCTTTATTACAACTATTACCTGCCGAGGAACGGATCAAACAGGCTAAAATAAAAATCGAGATGCAGAGTTTAAAGACTAATCATTATGAATATACAATGGAATATGAAACAGCTTGGATTTGTTATTTACCTGTAAACGAAGCCATACCGGTTATCAAGGAAAAAATAAATAATACTCCAGATGAAATAAACAGATTGGGTCTTCTTTTGCAAATGATTTACGTTTGTAAGGTCAATGAGGACGATAATGCGTTGTCCGATACTTTGACATATTTCTTAAAAAGACATAAAAACGAAAGCGATTGGCTATTCCAACAAGTATTTCAACAACTTCTGCTAATATACGATTTACCTCATTTAAGTGAAAAGCAGATTTCTCTTGTACTAGACATTGTTCGATTGTTGTACGTAAAAAATATATCCATACCGGAAGAAATACTCTCGGCTATGATACATTTCAAATTTATACACAATATACCAATTGAGGAACTGATCGATATATTTCTAGAAAATAATTATTATTACGTAAACTTTAACATTCTCACAAAATATCCACAGTATGAGAGACAATGTCTCGTAGCTTTCGCAAATAAAATTCAAACAAAATCTTTTAAAGATCTTGATCAAAGAGAAAATAACGTTTGCCGACTTGTTACAGCAATATACGATTTCAATGATAGATGTAAAAAGTTGCGCATCATGATAGAAAAAATGACAATTAGAGATTATCCTGGGCTACTGGATATTATTCACGAAATAATATGTTCCGGAAGAAAGTCAGACGTGAAAAATGTATTGCAAAAGAATGAACCCGAATTATACCACAGTTGGTTCCCTTCAAATATCGTGGATGTAATGTCAGGCGCGGCGCTCACTTTATTAAAACGAGATTTGCAAAACATATTGGACAATTGGGAAGAATATTTAGCAGACTGTTTGAAGAACTACCATCTCAAACACGTACAACACTTTGTCAGGGTTACACGTTGGTGTAAAGACTTACCCATTAAATTTGCTGAGCGTTGCATGAATTATGTTCACGATAAAAATATAGACAAAACATCGCCCAGCGTAGTTATTTTGGCCATTTTATTTTATGGTGATGAATTGACAAAATTAATCGAACCTCTTATACCCACAGAAACAGCGTTAGATATTAATCATCCGAATGCTAAAGATAATTATAATATCATACAAAATTTACCACTGAGCATGAGACTTTCCAATCCACCAGTGCCTCTCGAGCTCGTAGTTACATTGTGCGTAGGAGATTACTTGTTAATAGCTCTGAAGACTCTAACAAACGTAAGTAGGCGGACTTCTTTGCCGAAAGTGATATCAGTTGTACAAAAGTTGATGAATATGCGTGTGAGCACACGAAAACACGGGATTAGACTGATGTATTTAATAGCTTCTGAGCGAGAACTTATGGATTTTCTTCAGAAAACTTGGGCAACCGAAAGCCATTATTCAATACGACAAGTTTTGTTCAAGATATTTCAGAAATTATTCCTCGCAAAGCCAAATCCCGAAACCTGGTCCCTATATTGTCAAACGATGTCGACGTTGACTCTCGAGGACAAAGCGCTGCTTTTAGAAATGAAACTGTTTCCCGAGATCCCTAATGAATATGTCATGAAATATCTCGATCTGTGGCTCGAAACGATAGACGATCTTGAAAAAATGGGACTGGACAATCAGGAGGCAAACAAATACATTGCCAATTATTTGACCGTGCTTACTGAATCCGTTTTCAATCTTCTTTCTGATAAATTTGCCAAGAATATACTTCAAAGGTTTTTGTTCCATATGAATAGTGATATATCCAGCGCAGCGAGACGCTTTACGATATCGTACATTTTATCAAAAGATCATGATAAATATGCAGCACGTATCAAAGTATTTGCCGATGTCTTTCAGAACAAAGTGAAAACTTATTGGAATATGTCCCATCCTAAAAAATTACACTACTACCCAGTTAACAAAGCCGTGCATTTATTTCTAGATGATTTTGTCGTTAGCTACATGGATAAGTTTTGCTTTAATAAATCCATAATTAATCCGGAAGTCATTGATAACATGCAAATGATATTTTCATCTATCTTGTCACCTAAACAAGACGCAAAGTCTTATTTGCTGTTGGTATACGCGAAGAAGTTGCAAGAATGTACATCAACCAAGGACTCCTTTGGCCTGAGACTTGGTCAACAGTTGCACGAATTAATCGACATCTTTTCATCTCTACTAATTTCATCAATGGCCGAGATTCTCAAGTACTTCCTAAGCAGAGTATATAAACGTTCCGATTTGGAAGAAGTCAATCTGAGTGTTATAGAAGGCCTTGTTGAAGCTGGCAATACGGATTCATGTTTTATGGCTGTAATGATGTTACCGTCGACGATCCAGACAAAACACGTGGCAAGATATAATCGAATCATCGAAAAGTTTCGAGAAATGCAGAAGGAGCCTATTACAATCATTTTATACAATTATTTGAACGAAACGGATTTGGAAATTACTGATTAAACAAATCGAAGGAACGAATAAGTGAGTTTTATATTATATTGTGTATCTTTCGCGATAATATTTTATTAAGAAAATATTTTAATGCTCCGTTATTATATATATTATATATAATTGATGATTGAATCATAAATGTGCCTAATTTATGTATGTTAAACTATTGATGTACGTTTTTTTTAATAGAATAGTTATGTGAATTCTATTGAAACATCTATTTTCTATTCGTAGATATGTGCAAGATATACACCCGTTTTATATGGCTGTGGCAATATTATATCATCGACGATCCAGACGAAACGCGTGGTAAGGCATGATCGAATCATCGAAAAATTCCGAAGAATGTATTAGGAGCTACTATCACGACCGTTTTATACAATTTATGCAATCATTTTATACAATCATTTAAACGAAATTAGCTTGAAAATTAATAACTAACACGTTTGCTGTCCGTCATGCGTGATACTGACCTATCACAGTAAAATTATGAGAAATCTCAAATCGAAATCAGCTAAATATTAAACACTGTTTTAAAATGTTGTGAAATAGGCTTTCAGAGGTGTTTTTTCAGATGGGTAGTAAACGTGTTAAAAAATCGAAGGAATGAATGAGTGAATTTTATATCATATTGAGTATCTTTTTCGATAATATTCTACTGCCATAAATGTTAATGCTTTGTTATATAATTGATAAATATATATATATATATACCTATATATATATATGTATATATAATATATTCTTATATAATTGAATCGTAAATGTTTATACATGTTAAACGATGATTTTTTTTAGCGCATTTTTTTAAGAGAGTAATCATATAATTTTTATTGAAATATCTATTTTCTTTTTTGTAAGCTATACATGCGCCTAAAGTTCATTCTTTTTCTCTTAGCAACATACTTTATTTAAAATACTTTTTAAAGAAATGAAATATAAGAATTGTTAGTTCGACTTATGTCAAATAATAAAACAAAGCATTGTTAAAGAGTTAAAAAAAAATTTAAAAAAAACTAACAGAACAAACAAATCTAGATTCGGAATTGAAAGAAAGTTTATTTTGCATACGATTAACAAGGAAACCTTATGAAGTCAAATTCTAATTTTAACACAACTTTTTACACATGTGAGTTACCTGAATGGATGAATTTAAAAAATAGCAGTTGCTGCCCAAAACGGTTTTAAAAAGATGATAAAAGGTAGGAATTACACATTGCAGTCCTTAAGATTTCTCAGAAATGATAAAACGGAATTGAAAACCCTTTTACAGAATTGAAATAGACATAAAATGTATTCGGGAGACGAAGAAATTTGTAGTAAAAACAAAAAAAATTAAAAACTGCTTTCATCTGACGTAAACATTTCATTAGTGTAAAAGTTTTGTAGTTCATATGTACAAAATGCTTACGTCCCCTGAATCGAATTACATAAAAACAAATAATACAAAGCCTTTTGAGCTACGATTGAAAGCCTAGGAAAAAAGAAATCTTTACGATTCCAATGGTAATTGTAATTGTAATTCGTACGTTTAACTAAGATAAGAATGGTAAACAAAGCGTCTAGCAGTAAGTGCCGGATTTTGTAAAAGATGGCACTTCAATATGTTAGATAAGGACAATGCACATGTTTGAGTAAGACAGGAGATATTGTAAGAAGTTCATTTAGAGATCCCATTAAAATTGAATAGATACTGTTTTATCAACCTCGTGCAAATTTTTCCGCAATCTTTCAGCATTCTCTTAAGGGATAAAACTACTTCTTATGTGTAAAGCGATTTTCATTTTCTTCGTTATATCTCAAAAACTATTCAAGATATCAAAAAATGTTTTATACAAAAGTTTTACAGTAAAATCACTTCTTTTCACTCATGTAAATAATTAAAAAAAAATTTATTTAATTATTTATCAAAAATGTTATTAATGTAAATGAATACATATGATTTTGTCGTAAAAACTTTGGTATCAAACATTTTTAATATCTCAAATAGTTTTCAAAATATAACGAAAAAAAATTGAAAAATCATTTTAATATAAAGAAAGTTATTTTAAAACCATTTTTTCTCCGCAACTGATATTTTCTAAATTCATCTCTTTACGTAATCTATATGTATGCAAAGTTTTATTAAAATTAGAATTTGATACTTATTTATAAAACTAATTATGCAGTTACACATTTTAGTCGAACATTGTTTTATTTTTTTCCGGGGTAAAACACTAATCTATAACTCTCATTTTTTAATACATAAATTATTCGAAATGCAGTCGTCTTCCCTTTTTAATAGTTTTTGAAATACAATAATTTAAAATAACATTTTTATCTGGAATAGCTTTTGAGGTATATTACTTAAAATATTGTTAATTATATAGTAATAATACTTAAAATAGTATCTTAAGTTTAGTTTTTAAAACATGTCTAAAATAATATTAAAAAAAATTGTTTTTAAAAATTCAACTCTTCTTTTATACAAAAAATAATTTTCCATTAGAATGCTATAAAATGATGGAATTTTATTTTTTATTCCAAATGTATTTGTAACCTTCTATAGAACAGTTTAATAATAATAAATTATAATAATTGTTACAAATAAAGGACAGTCATTGATGTGTCAACACATGTTCTATGATATCAAGATTAATTATCTGTCATTCCGCCATTTTCTGTGATGTATAAGCACATTTATTATAAACAGCAATAAACATATTATGAATATTTAAATTTAATTATAAATCTTTTAATACTAACATGATTTTTACGTAACAAAATGTTCACAATTATATTCTTTAAAATAAATGATGGATACAAGAGTATTCCTTGCACCAGGAACATCGTATTATAGCAGGTGCACTATATGTGGAACAATGTGGTATTTCTTGTATATCTTTTCCAGAGAAACAAAAATCTATTGGATTTTCAAATTGTGGCAGCTGTTCTTTATATATTCATTTTTGAACCAGGCATATATTTAAAAAGATTATGAAGTAGCGGAGAAAATAGCTTTATATGCGTTAAAGATTGTAATTTGATGATATTATTTCTCAAATGTAAATTAATATCGTATTTAATAATTAATGCGATTATTGATTAGTCATTTATAATTACTGTTATAAAATTAAAAATGAGTGCACAGTTCTTAATTGATTTCGTTCATTAGACGTATAACAATTAAGTTTCACACAATTATGCAACAAGCTTTTAACAACTTTCTGATAACTGCGTGCTTTTCGAGTTTTTTATTGCGTCTGTAATTTTGTTTTATTTATAACTATTATTGTATTTCGCTGAAGATGGCATCGAATTCAAGTCGAACACTTGAATTAAATTTACATTATTAAGAAGAGAAATAATAGTTTTATTGCGCAACATTTACTGCATTAACTCTCATAGTCTTTTTTCTTGTAATATTTTAGATTTTAATTTTTGGGAGTTCGGAGATTTTTAATTATCATTTGAATAACAACTGCATTACTCTCTTATATACTTTAGACACATATACTAATACAGTTGTAAAAGTTTTATAAATTATTTTAATTTTATGTACCAAAATAATATACTGTATTTTTCAGAATAGTAAAATTAAAATAGTAATAGTAAAATTAATAAATTTAAAAAAAACTTTTAAATTATATTAATTTAGAAATCAATTTCCTACTTCTAATTTACCTGCTCACTACTTACAAAAATAAATAAAATTAAAATAATTTAAAAAACTTTTGCAAATGTATTAGTATGTGTTTAAAGTATATAATTTAACAGATAGTAATGCAATTGTTGTTTGGTAACTTTATAATTTTTTAAATAACCATTTGATAAAATTTATACAAATATCCGAACTTTTATCGAGTAAGTGTATGCTCGAAATATTTAATACAAAAGAGATATTTATAATAGAAAACTAAATATTTTTGAGTGTAATTAATTTAAAAAGCATGCATGTTACGTCCTAGGTATGAAGGACGCGGGGAGTGGGATCAATCTTGGAATTTAATTGAGGAAAAAGGAGTTTGTTGAGATAGGAGAGACACAATCAGAAATGGCTAGTCTTTAAGGCGGGCCGAGCGAGAATCTTGTTGACTGCCAGTATGATTTTAATATTAAATGAATTTGGTTATCGTGTCAAAGTCATGATTATTGGAGAATGTTTCTCTTTTTTTCAAAAAATAAAAATAATTTTCAAAAATGAAAATAAAAAAAAATAATAACCTTTAATGGTCTTGATCTTGACATGTGCTGTCTTAGGTCATGATTAGAGTCCTAGATTATCAGAGAAGCGCGACCGGTGTTACGAGTCCTGATTGGACACGCAAATGGCCAATCATAAGATTGATTTATCGCTATTATAAATGGCTGCCGAATAAATCAAACTTATGATTGGCCATTCGACGCCATTTTTAATATTTTCTAGTACTTTTGAGATCGGAAGAGCACACGTCTGAACTCCAGC